TTCAGTTTCAATCTGTTTTTCCTCATCAAGTCCATTACTGCTTTAAGACATTCATTGAGAGGGGTGAAGCCATCTGAAGTCAAGGCTGTAGAGACAGAAATATATCTGGGTATCATCAGCGTACTGATAACACCCCACCCTATGTCTCCAGTTGACCTCTCCCAGCGGCTTCATATAGAATACTATCAGAGACATGATGGCACCCTGAGGGACGCCACAATTAATCTCCTTTTTAGCTGAGCAACTGATGGGTGATTGCTGCCGCCTATTACAGACTGGGCTGAGTCTGACCAGTTTGTTAACCTGAGAGGTGTTCTGGGGGTGTTGGGAGAAATGTGCATGGCCTCTATTGAGAATAACTGCTAGTCTCTGAATACACAGTGCTGGTCAACTTGGCCCAAGATCTGTGGTTGATTTATGTATACAGCAGGCCCTTAGGACTCCTTGTGGATACCAAAATCTGTGGATGCTCAAATCCCATTAAATACAATGGCATAGTAAAATGGTTTCCCCTATCAAGATTTGTTTTTTTTCAAATTTATATATTTTAAAAATATTTTCAATCCATGGATGGTTGAATCTGTGGATACAGAGGACTTGAGTGTACATCTGATTCAGAAACTGATTCAGAAACTGAAAAAAGAGACAATCAAGAATGTCTCCTTGGCAATTGTGTAAATCTATACGTCACATACACCCATTACCATTATGAGGGAGATAAAGAATGACTTCCATTTTGAAGAAAAGGATACATGATTGATTTAGTTACATTACACTCCTCTTGTACCTGAGATACTTTTGACTTTAAAGAAAACAAGAAAATTTGGACACCAGTTCTTAACATGGTACAATTCTTGTACACGACAACTGTGATGCACGTGTATCTTCACAGGCCAAAAATAGCCTGCTCAGTAATTTAGGGTGCATTTACACCAGGGGTAGGCAACCTTTCCCCTTTAAGGGCCAAGGGACTTCAGCTCCCAGAAGCCTTAGCCATGTTGGCCAATAGTCCCATGTTGGCCAATAGCTCCTGGGATTCTGGGAGCTGAAGTCCCTCGGCCCTTAAAGGGGAAAGGTTGCCTACCCCTGATTTACACTGTAGAATGAATGCAGTTTGACATGATTTAACTGCCATGACTCAATGCTATGAAAATCTGGTTTATGTAGTTTTGTGAAATATTTAGCCTTCTTTGTCAGAGAACTCTGGCAACACAACAAATTACAAACCCCAGGATTCCATGGGATGAAGCCATGTCAGGTAGAGTGGTGTCAAACTGCATTAATTCATAGCTCAAAAATACAAAATTCAATGGGTCCCTAAGAAATAGCCACCAATCCCCGCCCACCCCAAAATGATCTTAATGGAGCTAGCAGTGACTAAAAAGATATAGAAATATATATAGTATATAGAAATGGGATAGTGGAGTTTTTAAGGGTTTGCAGTGGGGTTATAATTACCTGAGAGGATCACAGAAAGTGGGAGTGACTCAGATTGGGATGCCTGAGGGTGACACAGAACATACACAGAGTGTGGAGGTGTATGCCAGCTGTGTGAATAAAGATTAGGTTTTGGAACCCTATTTATACCTGAAAACTAGCCTCAGGCAATATGCCATTTGACCAGGTAATAAAGGCTGAATGTCTTGTCCCAGGAATCAACAATGGGATTCTGAACTGGTTGGTGGCTTTAATTTTAGTGTAACAAAAATAGTTATTGGATCACAATATCCCCAAGATGGATGGAGGGGAAAGTATGGCTGGGGACACATCAGGGGGTAGGCAGAGAAATTGACTTAGGGCCTCAGCAGACCAGCCCAAAGCTGGGATGGAGCAGCTGCACGCCAGCCACCCAACCCCACGCCAACGCTGTCCTGATGCCGCACACCATTACACATGCCATGCAGCATCAGGATGCCCTCCCTGCTCAGCATTCTGACATGCTGCACCAAAAAGGGTGAAAAAGAACTGTGAACCAGCTCTTAGGGAGGCCTTTTGCCACTCCTAAAAGGAGTAGCATTTTGCTGCTCTTTTCAGGGCAGCAAAAGGGAGGATCGGAGCCATGGCATGGGGTTCTGTGGCCCCGATCCACTGCTCCCTGGGGCAGCCCAGAGCCACCCATCTGCAGAGGCCCTTACTAATTTGTGTGTAAAGAAATCCATTGTTTCAGGTTGTGATAGAAAATGCAGATTTTGGGGGGAAGGAAGGAACACTTAATAGTTGATGGCTTTGTTTACCTGGATATCCATATGTTCCTTTTTTCCTGGGAACCTAACCTTGTGCTCCTGAAAGGTCATTGATCACTCAAAAATATGCTATTTCCAGAGAAATGAAAATATGAGGACCCCAAAATACAGTGTGAGGTATGCAGAGGTGCTTAACAATATCCACTTCTAATTTTGAGTTTAGGGGATTGCTGACTTTAGGGGCTTGTCATGTAAGGGAGCTGCAACCTGTAATATACAAAATCCACAATTTGTGGAAGTCAACAGAAGTGAAACTGGATGTAATGGTTTCAATTGTACAGGTGAAGACTTACTTGGTTATGATGTACAAGTTCAGAATGGTATAACTGTGGGAGAGTCTGGAATAGGTTAACCCCAACCTCAGAAGCATTAAAGCATAGTTAATTGGCTCTGCATGTTATAATTCTTGAATCATTAACCTGCTGGTGTGGAGAGAATACAAAAATCTGACAAGTGAAAGTAAGTCAAGCCTTTATTAGAGAAGTACGAACAATCTTTTAATGCAATAAAGAAACCAAAATAAATATATCACCTTTTATTAAACAGTACTTTTCATGTTACAACTAAATGCATAATCTATATGACACTTTACCACAAACACAATACACAGCACAATAAAAGACTATTCTTAGCCATTTCAGAGCAAGTCATTGGATGTCTACTGAGTAAGTTAGTCCAATAATCAATTACTCCCAGGTAAATGTGTGTAGGATTGCAAATGGGTAGTACTGATCCTTTACAGACTGCCAGAAATACTGCAGCTTGAGGCAAAGCAAAGCAAAGCAAAGCAAAGCAGCTTCATTTATATACTGCTTCATATCATGCTATGGGATGTCTAAGCGGTTTACAACTGTAAGCTCATTGTCCCCAACAGTTGGGTACTCATTTTAGCTACCTCGGAAGGATGCAGGCCTGAGTCTAGCCTGAGCCCTGGATAGTATTGAACTCGCAACCTTGTAGTCTATGAGTGAGTGGCTGCAGTACAGGCATTTAACCACTGTGCCATCAGGGCAGATAATGCATTCCCCCAGAGTGCTTGGAAGCTGTGTGGGAAAGGCTGGCACAAGAATTAACAGGGAAAACCCACTCTTTGCTGGTATCCCATTCAGGACTACAACAGCAGCCCAGATCAGGACTTGCCTGTTACCGCACCAGTTGGGGGGTTACTGGGGCTGGTGGAGCAGTGGTTAAATGCCAGTACTGCAGCCACAAGATTGTAAGTTAATTAATGCCAGGGATCCAAGGTTGACTCAGCTTTCCATCCTTTTGTAGGTCAGTAAAATGAGTACCCAGCTTGTTGGGGGCAATTAGCTTACAGCTTGTAAACTGCTTAGAGAGTGCTAAGTTCACTGATAAGCAGTATAGAAATGCACATGCTCGCTGGAGTTGTCTGCATGACCCCAGAGTCTCTTGTAACCCTTTGCTTCCAAGAAGTGACCCATGTCGTCACTGGCCAAATGACAATAACCAGAAGAATAATTCCAAGCCTAAACAGGAGTTCCTCAGTATGAAGGATTAAGTGAACTTGATAGTGCCTCAGGGCTGAATAATAACTGCTGGGTACTTTGTGGTACTGCAGCAAGCCTCCTAGGCCACATCAGGAGCTGTTTTCCCAAGCAATTGTGGCCCAAGGTGAATGGTACTACTGCTGTGAAGCCTTGCTCTCTCACTCTGCATGGCACAGAAAGTCTTCACATTCAGTCACAACTTTTCTCTTTTTGCTGGATTGCACAATTGGGATGTGTGTCTTGTCAGGATTCTTGCTTTCACTTAAGAATTGAAAGTCCTAGCTGCAAGGTCTTGAATATCTAATCCAAAAGATCCAAAGCAGTAGAGCCAGTGAAGCCAATAGTGTGAAACTTTGGACAGCTAATGCTGGCAAATTTATTTAGCCCAGGTGTGCAGCCCATCAGCTCCATGGGGGCTGAATTTACAGTCCTTGAAACCCCACAAAAGTTCCCAGAAGACTCAAGAACCCCTCCCCTCCCCTCCATCTCCTCCTTTTTTTTTCTTTTTTTTTTCTTTTCTTTTCTTTTTCTTTTTTTTCTTTTTTTGCTAAAACAATGGCCTTAAAAATGAAGAACACTGTCAAAATGTGGCCCTGCATTACTCCCAAAGCAAAGACAAACAAATCCCCAAGACTAGGCATATTTCAGACAGTTTCCAGAACCAGAACTGGCATTGCACCTTTGTTAGTTGTTCTGGGTCCATATGAGAGAGTGAAGGGGAAAATGGTCATGACTTCCCCTCCAGTTTCCTACTCAAATCTACATAGTAAATTATAAGTTTCATGAAATACAGGGGTAGGCAACCTTTCCCCTTTAAGGGCTGAGGGACTTCAGCTCCCAGAAGCCTCAGCCATGTTGGCCAATAGTCCCATGTTGGCCAATAGCTCCTGGGATTCTGGGAGCTGAAGTCCCTCGGCCCTTAAAGGGGAAAGGTTGCCTACCCCTGATGAAATATATGTACTTTTCAAAAAGTTCCAGAGAGTAGTCTTCACAGAAATACATACAGTTTTTTTTTCTCTCTCTCTCCACATACACATGTTTGCAGGGGTGTGACTAGGGCTGTGTGGGCCACACCAGATGACACCCTAAGGGGGGGGGGGGGAATGACACTGCTGCTTATCAAACATCTTATAACAACTTATCAACCCCCTAATGTTTGCCTGCATCCCTTTAAAATGCTGAAGAAATGGTGTGAGCGGGGTGAGGCTCAATGGGAGGAGAAAGGAGAGGCCTCAGGTTTAAAAACAATGGCCAATCAGGGATTCGAACCCTAGTCTGCAAAGTCTTAATACCATGCTCAAACCACTATACCATGCTGGCTCTCTATAAATAGTTATACTCAATAAATATTATTTTTTATATTTGGGTTGAGCTTAAAGTTACAGACTGACTCCCTTCATGGAAACAAGATTGTTCACTTGCAATGAAATCATTGAAATGCCCTCCAGATGTGAAGCAACCTGTTGTTGTTGTTATTATTATTATTATATTATTATTATTACTATAGTTTATTTCTAAAGCGCTGTCAATATACACAGCGCTGTACAAACCTGGAATTGGATCATGTGCCTCTACATACCTATGGCAACATTGGATCTGTTCAAGACACTACAGTTGCACTTGGGAAACACTGTCACACTGTCATACACAAAGACATTGACACATTTGTTTACACAGAGACTCAACCAATTTTCACCACAGTGTTATTGAACTTTACAGTTCTAAATGTATCAAAGGTAGTTCCTGCATGCCAGCCCCTCCTAAAGATGCCTTAGACTCAGTGGGAAAACTGGGGGGGGGGG